TAAAATTTGTTATTTAAATATTATATAATAATATTTACCATATATGCATATAACTTCCAAGTTGAGCTTATTAGGGGTCGTTTAGCTTGGGCCCTATCCACTAAAACCATCATTGGACCCCAAAAGTTTAATACCCAATTAGACTTTGAACCTAATTATCCTTGATATGTGTGGGCTTGTGTGGGCATGGTGCATATCCTTGATAACGATTTGTTACTTTTTATTAATTATTAAAATATTGTTATCTATTAAAACATTATAATTATTAAATTATTGTATTTATTTAAAATATAGTAACTTCTWGAAATTCTCATATTTTCAGAAATATTGCTAATTTCTTGGCTAAAACTAATTAAATGTAATTTTTTAGTAATTAAGTATAACTTTTTGGTAATTAAATGTAATTGTTAACTATTTAAAACTAATTATTGTTAATTATATTACTATTAATAATAAAAATGCATTATTTTTTCATTATTATTTAGTATTTTTTGTAATAAAATACAATTAACTTAATTTTTTAATTCTTTTTGGTATTTTAATTAAGCTTTAGGTTTTTCAGAATTTTTGAATTTTTAATTAGTCTTTGGTGTTTTTTCATTATTATTCAGTAATTTTTGCATATAAGTATTTTTCAATAATTTTCAGTATTTTCATCATTTATTTTTGCGTATTAGTCACTACAAAATTAATTTGCATATGCTTTCAGTAAAAATAAATTAAATAACTAAATAATTACCATAGTTAATAAAAAAATACAACTAATTCTCAATATTTTTCAATAATTTCGGATTTTCAGTAAATGCCCTTATTAATATAAAATATTATTAATTTTCAATATTTTTTAATTAGTTTTAGTATTTTAATTATGTTCAGATTTTTCAATTTTTTTTGGATTTTTAATTAATATTTTTTATTAGCGTTTATTAAGGTCTTAACTCATAAGTTATCTAATAATATTACTAAAGCTATTAATTAATATTTTTATAGTTAAATTTCTTATTTTTATTAGTGTTTGTTAAGCTAGATTTTTAAGTGGAATTGAAACACATTTTTAATATTTACTAAGTTTTGTTAATATTTATTTTTAATGAAAGTTTAGTGGATTTTTAAATTAATAATTTTATGATTGCTTAACCTTAACCTATTTATATTATTTGATTTATGTCATGGTTTTCAAAACCGGACTAGATCGGAAAAACAGAACTTCAACATAACTTCATTATTAATTTTACAAAATATTAAATTATTATAAATTTGAATATTATGTTTTTTTGCATAATTTCTTTATTTTAACTATTTAAAAATAGTTATGTTAWTTATTTCGTTATTTAAAACACTTAGTTATTTAAATAATATATAAAATATTTAAAAATACATATTATTTGAAYTTATGATATTTAGTTATTTTAATATCGAAATAATATTTTATTTTTTTAATGTTAAATTCTACTATTTGAATAACATTTAATTTGAATAATCTAGAAAATCATAATTTATATTGTTAGTACATAATTTCATGATGACTTTTGTAAAAATATAAGATTATTAATAATATGAACATTATTAAATCTATTAGAATTGCTTTTTGTGTTTTTAATAATTATTTTAAAGTTTATACTATTATTACATAATTTCTTTATTAATTTTGTAGAAATATTAAATTATTATTAATTTGAGTATTATGTTATGATTTTATTTGTTTTGTTTTATAAATTTGTTAGTTTAATTATTTAAAATATAATTATGTTAAATATTAGTTATTTAAATATTTAAATAATATCTAAAATATTTAAAAAATACTCATTATTTGAATTTAAGATATTTAGTTATTAAAATATTTAAATAATTAAATATTTTCTATATAATTATTTATCTATTTTTAGTATTTATTATTTAAGATATTTAGTTATTGAAATAATTATTTTAAAGTTATTTGAATAATCTAGAAAATCATAATTTATATTGTTWGTACATAATTTCATGATGACTTTTGTAAAAATATAAGATTATTACTAATATGAATATTATTAAATCTATTAGAATTGTTTTTTGTGTTTTTAATAATTATTTTAAAGTTTACACTATTATTACATAATTTCATTATTAATTTTGTAGAAATATTAAATTATTATTAATTTGAGTATTATGTTATGATTTTATTTGTTTTGCTTTATAATTTTGTTAGCTTAATTATTTAAAATATAATTATGTTAAATATTTAGTTATTTAAATATTTAAATAATATCTAAAATATTTAAAAAATACTCAATTATTTGAATTTAAGATATTTAGTTATTAAAATATTTAAATAATTAAATATTTTCTATATAATTATTTATCTATTTTTAGTATTTATTATTTAAGATATTTAGTTATTGAAATAATTATTTTAAAGTTATTTGAATAATCTAGAAAATCATAATTTATATTGTTTGTACATAATTTTGTGATGAATTTTGTGGAAATATAAAACTATTAATAATATGAATATTATTAAATCTATTATAATTATTTTTGTGTTTTTAATAATTATTTTAAAGTTATTGTATAATTTGTTTAAATATTTAAATAATTTTTGAAATTTTAATTTAAACTTTCTTTAGATAGATATAGATAAAAAGTGTTAAAGAGGATAATTAGGAATTAGAGATAATTTGGAGAGAAATTCTCCAGTAAATTAGATATAAGTTAGAAGATAAATAGGAATTGGAGATGATTTAGGATAAAGTGGAGAAGGTAGTTTAGGATAAATTTTAGAAGAGATTGTTGGGAAATAGGAGCATCTCATTGGTTCAATGATTACTATTTTATATTTTTAAAACAAAAAAAATAAGAAAAAATACAAAAATTTGAGAAAATAGATAAATAAAAAAAGAGAGCTATGCTGACATAGCAGGACTAGTTTTAATATATATATAGATTCAAGGCCTGACAGTTCCTCCTAACCTACTAGTAGCCTCTGGATTTGGAATTGATCTACGGTCAGGATTCATCCCACCTATTCCGTTTCCGTGGGAGCTTAGATTTCTGAGGTGGATTGAACAATAAAAACCCCAATTAAAAACGGTCCTGATCATCTGGACGCAAATTTGAACAAAATTCAATGCCTCGTATACCAGAGACTAAGAAAGAAAATCAGAGAAAAGTATAACAGAAAATAATTCAGGAGCAAACCCATGATACCGGAAACAAATGGTACCGGAGGAGCTCTGACCAATCAAAGCACTTCCGCGAAGGGTTCGACTATGACAAGTCTCCGCTATATACTTGGGAAGTTGGGATTCATGGATTTATATGCAACTCCGCCCAGCCTCTTCCTATATGGTTTTCTACGCTGATGTGCCCTAATTCCTCACATTTGCTCTTCTCTCTTCCTTCATTCCCGTCCGAGCCCAGTGTCCAAGGCAAGTTACTCTACACAACAAAGCTGCTGTATCTTTTTTCTTCTTCATTTGTTACTTTTGTTCTGCATAAAATGCTCATCTGATGCACTCCCACCCCACCACCCGAAATCTCTGAACATTCAAACACCTTTCTCTCACCCCCATCTTCCCCAATGTATGTGAATATGCATTTTAGGATTCAGTTTCTYTGTATTTGCTTTTGTCTGTTGATCTTCATGGATCATCACTACTGTTAAGTAGATCATCCCTTTCTCTGTAAAATAGTAGCACTTAAGATCATCGATCCTATATTTTTGTTGCATTCCACTATTCCAGCCCCTTAAACCTAAACAGTAATTTTTTTTTGCTATTTTAATGGGATAGATTGTACTGTAAGATCATCCTAATAATTATTTTATTTGTTTCATTGCTATTAAGCCTAAATATCTTCTGTAAAATAACAAGGAAAAGAAAGAATCATCAAAACATTAGGTTGTTCAATGCGGCCCTTCGATGGTGGTCTAGAAGATCCCATATGAATGACCAAATGGATTAATTTCTTTAGTTTCTCATTCACAGTGATAGATTTTTATAGAAACAAGAGTTTTGGATTTCCTAGCACAGATTAGAAGATAGAAAAAGGAAAAGAAGTTGCTAAAAACAATGGAAGGTGAGAGGAAAGGGGTGAGAAGAAGAGGATGCGTTTGCGGTAAAGGAGATTTTCTACCAGAGGAATCGTTCAAGAGTTGGGGGAACTATGTCAAGGCATGGAGCGAAACCGGAATGCGGTTAAAGGATCGCATTCTGACTCGGTCCCTGGACGAAACCGAGCTGAACGAGATGAAGGCTCGAAGCCAGAATGACATGAAGAAGAACCTCTCATGGTGGGACCTCATATGGCTGGGCATTGGCGCTGTTATTGGTACTGGTATCTTTGTCCTCACCGGCCAAGAGGCCAGGTACGATGCCGGCCCTGCTGTTGTCTTCTCTTATGTCGTCTCCGGCATCTCAGCCATGCTCTCCGTCTTCTGTTACACCGAGTTCGCCGTCGAAATCCCCGCCGCCGGTACATTCAATAAACACAAACACACCGATTGAACTAAATATATATGATTTGTTTTTTTTCTTTTCATTTTGAAAAGAAACTAAATATGAAATTGATTGATTTCGCTCTTGAATACATGTTTGGCATTGATTTTTCAGGTGGGTCTTTTGCTTACTTGAGGGTAGAGCTAGGAGACTTCATGGCCTTCATTGCAGCCGGAAACATCCTCTTCGAGTATGTGATCAGTGGAGCTGCCGTGTCCCGCTCCTGGACCTCTTACTTCGCAACTCTCTGCAATCACAAGCCCGATGAATTCCGTATCATTGCCAACGGCCTCGCCGAAGACTACAGCCGCCTCGATCCGATTGCTGTTGTTATCATCGCCATTGTAGCCGTATTTGCAAGCAGAAGCACAAAAGCCTCGTCCCGCGTCAACTACGTCGCTTCCATCATCCACGTCTGCATCATCCTCTTCGTCATTATCGCAGGAATGGCCCATGCCGATACCAAGAACTATGCTGTGTTTGCTCCGTTTGGAGCTCGTGGCATCTTCAAGGGCTCAGCCGTTCTCTTCTTCGCCTATGTGGGGTTCGACGCTGTGTCGACCATGGCGGAGGAGACAAAGAACCCAGGTCGGGACATTCCAATTGGGCTCCTGGGGTCCATGTCGATCATCACAGTAGCTTACTGCCTTTTTGCTGCCACGCTGTGCCTCATGCAGCCTTACGACCAGGTCGACCCAGACGCACCATTTTCAATGGCCTTCAAGGCTGTGGGAATGAACTGGGCCAAATACATTGTTGCTCTTGGGGCGTTGAAGGGTATGAGCTCGGTATTGCTCGTCAGCGCCATAGGCCAGGCCAGGTACTTGACCCACATCGGCCGCACCCACATGATGCCGCCATGGCTGGCTCATGTGAACGAAAAGACTGGAACACCGATCAACGCCACAATCACTATGCTCATAGCAACAGCCATTATTGCATTCTTTACAGATCTGGACATCCTCTCCAACCTCCTATCCATCTCAACCCTCTTCATCTTCATGCTTGTTGCCGTTGCCCTGCTTGTCCGCCGATACTATGTGACCGGTGTAACCACGCCGCGAGACCGTAACTTGCTCATAACCTTCCTGTTGACCATATTGGGATCATCATGCGCCATGGCTGCCTTATGGGCATTGGGTGAGTCGCGGTGGGTAGCGTATTTGGTCGTGGGGATTCTGTGGCTTCTCTCGACTCTGGGTCTCAGGCTGTTTGTGCCACACGCTCGGGACCCCAAGCTTTGGGGAGTCCCACTTGTGCCATGGTTGCCCTCGGCCTCCATCGCCATCAATATSTTCCTGCTGGGATCAATTGACGGGAAGTCTTACATGAGATTTGCAATGTGGACAGGGTTGCTTCTGCTCTACTACTTCTTCTTTGGGCTGCATGCTTCATACGATACTGCCAAGGAGTTGAGCGAGAGCAGATTAAAAGATACACAACAGTTGCAGAAGATTGAAGAAGGAACTATGACTTCAAGAGAGGGGGATGCCAGTGGTGGCATAGCTTCTACAACTCCCAGCAGTTAACTAGCTTTGGATGGAGTTGCAAGTAATTCTTTGCTACTTTATTTCGGGACAACATTCATTATGCTTAGGCTTCATATAGAATTAGCATTTCTTATCAGTTGTTGTAGTCTCTGGGGATTTTAGATTTAGGATTTTTTTTTTTTTTTTAAGTTTGTTCATTCCTAATGTGTATATGAATAAATGATCATTTCAAGCATTTTGTTCATTGAATAGTGAAGTAGTTGCAACTTTTTTTTTCTTGACACGTTAAAGGAAATTCTGTTCAACCAGGAAGGAATTGCTTATCTTCTGAGGACTCATGTTAGGTGTTGGCTGTAGTTTCAGCTAACCATGGATGCATGCAAAGTGGAAAAGAATGTTCTAGAATAGAGGACTTACATACAATAAATTGAAGTAAGTAGAGAGTAGAAAACAAAGCTGAAGGGATGAGAGATCCATCATATGGATGGCCGAACCCTATAGGAAGGTAGGGCGAAATTTCAAAAATTTTCTCTCTCCCATCTGGGAATCACATTCCCTGTTTTAGAAAACTGTTTTTCAAKGATCAATCTTGGACCAAGAACCGAACCAGATCTGAACAAAATCAGTACGAGAGAAATATACCTGATACGAAGATGCAATATCTCCCAATGAAGGTGTTTACACCCAAAGAAAAAACACCAAAGACTGCTCCCGCTGAAGATGACACAGCGTATGGTGGAGCAAAATCAGCAGGGTCCGTCCAATGAACCGAATTCTTCAACAATAATCCAATGGAGGCAGTGAGCACAACTTTTGATCAGCCTTTCTCCAAAGACTGATATCAAGACTCTTCTTGATCGCCCCTACAATGGAGATCGAACTAGCAGTATGGCATCAACTAGAGGAGAACGTAGGAAGAAGATGGCRCAGTCACACTGGTGATGTCTTCTCTCTATGTAAACTGAGAACTGATCTCTAGATGCTAGGATGGACTGAATGGTTTGCCCTCTCATCCTTTTATAGCCTTAAAGAGAACTCATAATCTCATTAGGAGTTTCCTAATCCAAATCTATATTTGGATAAGGAGTTCTCTTTAAGAGATAAGGATAAGACCTTATCTTATCTGCAAATTAGATCAGCAATTTCCTAATTTCATTAGGAGGTTTCTARATCCAAATCTGTATTCAGATCTAGACTCTCTGAGTGTATAGGGATAAGATCTTATCCTATCTGTTGATTTAATCCCAGATCCGCCCCCTTTATTTAACTAATCAAATTAGGCCAATTCAAAATGGGCTTTAGGCCCAATAAGTCTAAGTGCTCAGAATGCTTCCAAATTGCTGCCCAGTTGGGCTTCTTTGTATGGCACGGGACCCAAACATTGATCTACACAATGACCACATGGGTTCAACTCAACCTCTGTTACAAGGCCTGACCGAATTCACTGAAAAGATAGTGAACCCCTTAAAGCCCATCACATGGACTCCTAGTG